GGGGTCGCGGGGCGGGGTGCCAGTGACCTGAAGGAGGGGAATCTGGGATGCACGCGCGCGATCGCGAAGCAGTTCGAGAGGCCTGTGCTAGGCTGGGGGATGCGCGGTACAGATGTCTAGACACTGAGGGCAAAAAACAGGTTCCTTGGGAAGAATGGCAGATAACATAAGGAAGTGGCCTAAGTTGTTGTGGAAGAGGGCAGCAGCCCCTTTAGAACCTGCAAGACCAGGATTCTGAAGGGACTCTCTGCTATGGCAGGCAAGCGTGGTGAGCGAATGCTCAGGCCTCTCCCCTCTATTCTTACCCCTCCCTGCCCCACAGTGTCCCAGGACACAGCTCAGGTGGGGCCACTCCTCCCACCCACCCAACTGGTCCCTCCGGTCTTAGCTCTGGGAGAGTGGAGTTGACAAGAGGGTTGGGTGGAGTTGCCTTCTGCTTAGACACCCAGCCCCTTGATTCTGCTACCTAGTCATTGGATGTGATTTTGACCCCTCTCTCCCCAGGTCATCCGGGGGCCCACCATGCTGGTGACTGCCTACCTGGCTTTTGTGGGCCTCCTGGCCTCTTGCCTGGGGCTGGAGCTGTCAAGATGCCGGGCTAAGCCCCCTGGAAGGGCCTGCAGCAATCCCTCCTTCCTTCAATTTCAGCTGGACTTCTATCAGGTCTACTTCCTGGCCCTGGCAGCTGACTGGCTCCAGGCCCCCTACCTGTATAAACTCTATCAGCATTACCACTTCCTGGAGGGACAAATTGCCATCCTGTATGTCTGTGGCCTTGCCTCTACAGTTCTCTTCGGCCTGGTAGCCTCCTCCCTTGTGGATTGGCTGGGTCGCAAGAAGTCTTGTGTCCTCTTCTCTCTCACTTACTCTCTGTGTTGCTTAACCAAACTCTCCCAGGACTACTTTGTGCTGCTGGTGGGCCGAGCACTTGGTGGGCTGTCCACTGCCCTCCTCTTCTCAGCATTTGAGGCCTGGTACATCCATGAACACGTGGAGCGGCATGATTTCCCTGCTGAGTGGATCCCAGCTACCTTTGCTCGAGCTGCCTTCTGGAACCACGTGCTGGCTGTAGTGGCAGGTGTGGCAGCTGAGGCTGTGGCTAGCTGGATGGGACTCGGGCCTGTAGCACCCTTTGTGGCTGCCATTCCTCTCCTGGCTCTAGCTGGGGCCTTGGCCCTTCGAAACTGGGGAGAGAACTATGACCGGCAGCGTGCCTTCTCAAGGACCTGTGCTGGAGGCCTGCGCTGCCTCCTGTCAGACCGCCGTGTGCTGCTGCTGGGCACCATACAGGCCCTATTTGAGAGTGTCATCTTCATCTTTGTCTTCCTCTGGACACCTGTGCTGGACCCACATGGAGCCCCATTGGGCATTGTCTTTTCCAGTTTCATGGCAGCTAGTCTGTTGGGTTCTTCCCTGTATCGGATTGCTACCTCCAAGAGGTATCACCTTCAGCCCATGCATCTGCTCTCCCTTGCCGTCCTCGTTGTCGTCTTCTCTCTCTTCATGTTGACTTTCTCCACCAGCCCAGGCCAAGAGAGTCCAGTGGAGTCCTTTATTGCTTTTCTTCTTATTGAATTGGCCTGTGGCCTATACTTTCCCAGCATGAGCTTCCTGCGGAGAAAGGTGATCCCGGAGACAGAGCAAGCTGGTGTACTAAACTGGTTCCGTGTGCCCCTGCACTTACTGGCCTGCCTAGGTCTCCTTGTCCTCCATGACAGTGATCGAAAGACAGGCACTCGGAATATGTTCAGCATCTGCTCTGCCGTCATGGTGATGGCTCTGCTGGCAGTGGTGGGACTCTTCACTGTGGTAAGGCATGATGCTGAGCTGCGGGTGCCCTCACCCACCGGGGAACCCTATGCCCCTGAGCTCTAGCCTTGTTCTAGGACAAGGGGTCTGGGATGGATTCTTTTTTTTTTTTTTTTTTTTTTTTTTTTTTTTTTTGTGGTACTGAGGATTGAATCCAGGGCCTTCACACTGAACTACATCCCCAGACCATTGTGGTTTTTTTTTGTTTTTTTTTTTTAATTTTGAGACAGGGTTTTGCTCTGTTGACAAGCGGTCTTCCTGCCTCAACCTCCCAGAGTACTGGGATTACAGGTGTGTACCACCATGCCTGACTTGGCATGGACTCTTGAATCCCATCTCGCTAGGGTTTACGGATCTGTGACTCACTTTGTGACTTTGTCCTGCAGTCCCTCCTGCCAGTGCTTTGTGTTGTGAAGGACCTGGGGGTGATGGACTGGAAAGGTGCCAAAAGTTGACCCTGTTTCTCCCCTTTCCCCTTCCACTTAAAAATAAACACTTTCAACAGATCTTGATTTTATTTATGTATCCTCACCTGTGTCCACTTGAGTGGTTCCTGGTGAGTGGGCAGCTGGAGGTTTTGAGATATGCATGGGATTACCAGCAAAAGGCTCATAGCTCTGATTTCTTCAAGTCTGCTGCTCAAACTGAGAGCTGTGGGGTTGCCACTCAGCAGAACTGAGTAGAAATAACCTGAGGCTCAGGATCTCCACATCTCTTGTCCGTGGAATAGGAACCCTCCCCAGTTGTTAAGCAAAACCCTCCACACCTAAGGTGAGATGATCTCTAGAATGCATGGGGTAGGGCCAGGGATGTAGATCAGCAGTACTGTGCCTGCCTGGCAAGCACAGAGTCCTGAGTTTGATTCCTGGTACCAGAAAAAAAAAAATAATCTCTAGAACACCCAGAGTAAATGCCCAGTGTTCCAGGACACTGAACGCAAATTTCAGATGCTTGGGCTGCAGCTTGATTATCCCTTAAGGCAAGCCCAGGGCACTTCTTGCAGGAATAAGATTGCAGCTCAAGGAATGCCTGCTGCCTGCCTGCCACCTGTATGGCTATGAACACACCGTTTGTCCAGCATTATTTGGGTGCACCAGGCCCTGTGTCCCTGCATAAAACCTAAGTAAGGGGCTGAGTGACCAGGACATCTTGTCTGTACCTGACTTCCCCATCCAGCCTGAGTGACAATGAGAGCCATGGGGCAGGAAAAACTACCTGTAGGAACACCAGTTTGGTGGGCTCCTCCCTGCCTCACCTCTGATTCTATCTGTTTTTTCTCCTCCCACCAAAACCTGGCCTTCTCAGGTGAAGCAAGGCCAATTTTAGAAAGGGTGGGGATGCTGTGGAGAGAATGGCTCAGGGTGTGTCCCGGAATGTGCTTGAGAAGATTTAGGGGACCCACCTGGTCCTGCAAAGGGATTGAGGAACCTTTACTTGGTCTCACACTACTCCCAGACAGGAAGAGTCTTGTTCCAAGCTGCGGTCTCAGCCTGTGTGGAAAGAGAACATCAGCTGGTGCAGGGGGAATGCAGGGTAGAAGGGCTCCTGTAGGGTAAGGCTGGTGAAGGAAAGGAGAGTGGCCCTAGGTTCCTTCTCAGAACAAAATTCGTGTTCTCCCACCCACACCAAGTACAAAAGGCAGGTATTTTCCTCCTGCTATGGTCTTAAGGCTAGACAGTCTGTCACAGTAACTTCATTTCCTTTTTTTGCCTTGTTGAACTGGACCTAGATATATTTTATGGTTATTTAGAAGCATTCCTCTTTTCCTATTATACTAGAGAGAACAGAAGGAAACTTACCTTTGTCTCCCGTACTGTGTGTATGTATGTACAAGTGGGTGCTCTGCCTGTGACTGGGTTTAGTAAATGTCTGGAGGGGAGACAGAGCCACCCTGGGGGAAGTCTATTAGACTAGAATTTAGAGCCTGTGTAATGATGTATTGTTTGGGATGACAGTAATTACTGTCAGAGCCATGAGGGGGCCTCATACTCCTAAGTGATAAGTAAATAGGGGATAGGAGAAACTGACTACCAAGGCTCTTTTAGTCTTGTCCCTGCTGAGTGTAGGAGGGGCTGGTTAGCAGAGCGGGGAGGATTCTTTCTTATCAGAGTCGCAGTGTATTGAGAGCTAGAAGACAGTTTAAGGATTGTCTTCAAATGTAGACTTTTTTTTTTTTGGATTGGCCATATACTATATGCCATGCATCGTATTATTAGATACTGGTGAACTTTATTTAAAACCCAAAAGTGCCAGGTGTGGTGGTATATACCTAAAATCCCAGCACTTAGGAGGCTGAAGCAGGATGATCCCCAAGAAGCCAGCCTGGGCTACACAGTGAGATCAAGGACGGCCTGAACTATATAGTAAGACACCCCATACACACAAAAGGAACCCAAGGTTGCAAGGTTCACCAGGTGCACACTACAAAGTGCTCATTGTCTTGCTCACTTGAGGAGGCTTAGGGAGCTTCTTAGAGCGGGGATTCACAGCTGGGGATGAAGTTCAGTGGTAGAGCACTTGCCTAGCATCGGGGAGGCCTGCATTTGACCCCCAGCACGAAGGAGGGAGAAAACAACAACAATGAAAACAAAAGTATAGCTCCAGCCCTGACTGCCTGGTTCAAGTCTGGCTCCATCTCTCCTGCCTAAGTTTCCTGCTCTATAAAATGGAGAGGACAGTATAGTTTCTGCCCTATGATAGACGGGACTCTTGTGAGAATTAAATGTATTACTATAGCTGAGTGCTTAGAACAGTACTTATAGAAGTGCTTTTCTTTTTTTAAAATAAATATTATTCTATATTATCCCATTCCTGTCCTCAAGCTTTTTTTTTTGGGGGGGTGGTGAAAATTAGACCCTGGGCACCAAGCATGTTAAGTACCTAAGCCTGTCCTGTAACACTGAGCTACAGCCACAGCCCCAGGGTTGCTGTTTGCTTTTGAGTGTTTTTTTGGTACCTGGGATCGAACTTGGGTCCTTGTGTTTGCAAGGGAGGCAGTGGAAACACTAAGCTAAATCCCGGCCCTGCTTTTTTTATTTTCACTTCCCAATCCAGCCGAGTCTGTCTGGGCTGGGATGTGAGCGTGAATGGATATAACTGTGGATGGGGTGTACAACTTTCCAGCATGTCCCAGTGGCTGGGGGATTCCCAGCAGTGCTTACCTTTGGCGCTGGCCCAGATGGAAGTATCAGGCTCTCTGAGGGACCTCTACTTTGGGTGTATGTGAGCAGCTAGCCAAGTGAGTTGGGTGTCAATATGTTCCACTTGAACTTATTTCCTCTTCCTCAAGTGGGAAAGTCAGTTTGGGGTCAGACTTGATATATCACCATCTTTCACTAAGAGGCTCCTGATTTTCTGAGTTTCATTCAGCTAAACACATGATTATTTGATCTGTAGTTTAAAAAAAATTTTTTTTGCCAGGCGTAGTGGTTCTCGCCTGTGATCCCAGCACTCGGGAGGCTGAGGCAGGAGGATCGCTGTGAGTTAGAGACCAGCCTGGGCTACATAGTGAGTTCCAGGTGAGTCTCAACTACATAGTGAGACCCTGTCTCGAACCCCCCCAAAAAAAATTTTTTTAAAGCCAGGCCTGGTGGTGCACACCTGTAATTCTAGCACTCAGGAGGCTGAGGCAGGAGGATCACTGTAAGTTCAAGACCAGCCTGAGATAAGTAGCAAGACCCTGTCTCAAACCAAAAAAAAAAAAAATTTATTATTTTTTTTTAGTGTATGTTTGCAATACAGAGTGATTACATCCAGTTTGGAGGTTTGGTAGAGATATAGATATCACATTTAGATCATTTTTGCTAGGCTGGTGGCACACACCTATAATCCCAGTACTCAGGAAACTGAGGCAGGAGACTCTCAGTGAGTTGGAGGCCAACCTGGGTTACAGGGGAGACCTTGTCTCAAACCAAACAAAAACAAAACAAACAAAAGCATCTAGATCATTTTTATTCCCCTCGACCTGTAGCTTTTAAGTGGTCCCATGGAATCAGGAGCCAGTGGACAAGGAGGCAGGACTGGGGCATGAGACAGTCCTGGTTCTATGCTCTGTAGAACAATCTCTTCCTGTTTGTTTGCTTTTGAGACAGGGTCTTTACTATGTAGTTCAGGCTGGTGATGAACTCACTGTGTAGCCCAGGCTTGTCTCAATTGCATAGCAATCCTCCTGTCTCAGCCTCCAGAGTGCTGAGATCAGAGGTGTGTGCCACCATGCCCAGCTTCACAAGTTTTCCCTTTTTTTTTCTTCACATATTTTTTATACACAGCCCAAAATAATTTTAGACAATATTTTTAATGTAGCACAATGATAAAGCATGACCCCTGGGTTTAATCCCCAGCATTGAAAGTAAATAAATAAATTCAGTGTTTAAACTTGAGTTCTGACCCTAAAATCAATCTCTATCTTTCTCTGTTTCTGTCTGCACCTGTCTGTCTCTTAATATATATATATATAT